TACTTTTTTGTATTTTTAGTGGAGACGGGGTTTCACTGTGTTAGCCAGGATGGTCTTGATCTCCTGACCTCGTGATTCTCCTGACCTCGTGATCCACCCGCCTTGGCCTCCCAAAGTGCTGGGATTACAGGCATGAGCCACTGTGCCTGACCTCAAAAGGACACTTCTAACCATGCTAAACCATATCAAGTCCAAAGCAGATTCTTGTGGTGTGAAACCTGTTCACTCTTGGCAAACAAACAAATCCCTTCCTTCAGGGGCCTGATGGGACAATCCTAATACAGACCTCCTCCGGCACATTGGACATCGGCCTATAAATCAGTACCTTTTGGACAGAGAAGATAAATCAATTAAAAATACAACCACCTATACCATTTACTATATATTTTCATCTTAGTCCAAGGGATTTCAAGAGGGGCTCTGTCAAATGCAGCTGAAATCTCAGACTGTCTGACAGCATTCCTCTGACCCACGAGGTGAGGAACCCTAACTGTGAACGGTCAGATGAGGGGCAGCCGCAGCTCTGTTTTTGATGTATTCTACTAACAAATACAATGCTATTACTGTAAATATCTAAGGACAGATCCAAGAAAATATGATAAACATTAGTTTACTTGTAATCCAAGTTCAAATAAAATTCGAACAGCTTCCACCAATGTCTTTTTTAGGTTGAATTTTGTTCCCCAAAAGGATATGTTCCAGTCCGAATCCTGGTACCTTTGAATGAATCTTATTTGGAAATAGAGTCTTCGTAGATGTTACCAAGCTAAGATGAGGTCATACTGAATGTGAGTGGCTCCTAATCCAATAACTGGTGTCCTTATGAGAAGAGGGAAATTCTACCGAAATGCAGGGGAGAAGGTTACATGAAGATGGAGGTGGAGATTGGAGTGATGATGCTGCCACAAGTCAAGGACTGCTGGAAGCCATCAGAAACTTGGAAGAAATGAGGAAGGATTCTTCCCTAGAGCCTTCAGAGGGAGCACAGCCCTGCCAGTACCTTGATTTTGGACTTCTTGTCTTCAGAACTATGAGCCAACACATTTCTGTTGTTTTAAGTCACCCAGTTTGTGATACTTTGTTACCGTAGCCCTAGGAAATTAATTCAACATCTAAGCAAAACAATGGACTTTGAAGGTAATGCCGATTAACATCAGAATCAAGAGCACTTAGGAACTGATTGATAAAAAACCAGAAAGATCTGAGAGAAGCTGAAAGAGGATGGCAGATATCTGGACTCCCGAGCAGGCGGCAGTCCTGCCCACGGTGAGGCTCCAGATGGCAGTGGAGTGAATGGGTGAAGGAACTAGCCAAGCAGAGTCGAGGCACTGGCTTTGAGGCTGGGGGGTTGGCCAAGAATTGACATCCAGCATCAGGCTCATCCCCAAGGAGTTCACTGTCTCTCCCAAGCATGCGGTGATGATCCTTTCTCAACAAAACCCTATCACTTTTAAATGGCAACAGATCACAAATTCATCCATTTGTCATCAACACAGAAGCAAAACCATGTTGAGCTTCCTGTCTCCAATGTGACATTTTCCCTGCCTCTGTTTCATCATTCTAAATTAGACAACAAGGGAAGGATCTGCTGGCCTCTCTGCTTGTCTCTATCTATAGTGCTCTAGCCACCATCTCCAAGGTGCTAAGATTCTACTGATTGATGACGATATCGCTAAAATGGTTACATTCTGAACCAGAACAAGGAAGGTGTTATTTTCCGAAAGTGCAAACTTAGGAGTGGAAGGAGGCTCCCTGGCAGTTTCCTATATTAATCTGGCTCCAATGTGGCCCCATGAAATATTCATCTACAATGGCAAATCTCCTCCCAGGATGGACCTTAAGAGACATCCTTAGGAGATTTCCCAGCAGTAATTAGAGGGATGTATTATTGCTAAATCCTGAACTCACTGGGAGCTGGGTAAATCTGGAAAGTTAAAATAAAAGTGCCGCCTTGTGGCAAAAGGCCCACTTCTTGGCACCTTCAATGAAGCACAGCCCTGCACAGGGCGAGAGTAGTAATTCTGAAGAGGCCTGTACCCACCGCTGACACCCCTTTAAGGAAACTACTACGGAAAAGGCCAAATGAAGCATCGATGTGCAAATACCATTTAGCAAGTATAGATAAGCTGGGTTAAATCATACTTGGAGCACTTAAAAAAAGATTCAAATGTTAATACATCAGCACTAGAACATGCTGTACAAGCAACAGGAAAATTGCAGTTGTCAACGTGTGAATTTAGACTTGGGGTAAGTTCATCCAAGGAAGTAAAATCTCAATTTAGATCGTTTTTCTATTTGAGCCCCCTTCCTTCCATATCCACGTGTTTCTTTTGGAATGGGGGAGGACATCGTTACTCAGCAAATGTATTTCACACCAAGAAAGGGTTAGGACATTATTCATCCAGGGAAGGGATGTGAAGTTCTCAGCTAATTAGTGTGAAGTGGTCCTTCACAAGGTCAAACCACAAAAGATGGAGAAGGTGCCCTGGGATGTGTGTGTGTGTGTTTGCATGTAAGCCCTTGTGTGCATATCTCTGTATATCTGTGTTCATTCTTTTTTATTCTTTTATTATTTATTTATTTATTTGAGACAGAGTTTCACTCTTGTTGCCCAGGCTGGAGTGCAATGATGGGATCTCACCTCACCACAACCTCTACCTCTCAGGCTCAAGCCATTTTCCTGCCTCAGCCTCCTGAGTAGCTGGGATTACAAGCATGCACCACCATGCCTGGCTAATTTTGTATTTTTAGTAGAGATGGGGTTTCTCCATGTTGGTCAGGCTGGTCTCGAACTCCCAATCTCAGGTGATCCGCCCTCCTCAGCCTCCCAAAGTCCTGGGTTTACAGGTGTGAGCCACCGCACCCGGCCTGTGTGCATTCTTTTTAATGAGAAATAATTCTAAGGGGCAAATAGCAAGAGGAAAGGGGCAGTGTGCCTACTGTATTACAGAATTTCTGGCATTTTCCTGTTGTACTTCTCAGAAAGTCTACCTGCTCAGCATAGCAGGTGCATGGGAGTAGCTGCGGCATCCTGGGTGGAGAGCCCATTGGCTGTTGCGAAGGGAAGCCCAGCTGTGTGAGCTCACCCAGCCCAGCCAGCAGGGAGAAGGGGCCCCAAGTCCATCTGGGGCCTAGATAGAGACCCCAGAGCTTGGAAGATGTGGCCAACTCTGCTTGCTGGTTTGAAAAAGAGATGTATTCCAGGTCGAGTTTGACAGGCTGTTTTCTATATCAAAGCAACAAACAGGCTTTCATTTCAGAACGCATCTGGTCTCCTAAACCATTCTATCACAAGCAGCTATTTTCTTTAAATGGAAAGTCAGGGCAGTTTATTTTTCTCAAAACCGTGCTGTCAACTCTTCTGTCTGACTCTTGACTTTCACCTGTTCTACACAATGGCAAAGCTGTTCTTAAAACGGTGGTGTGGGGGAGACCTTCCCTGAGGACACTATACTTGTGATATATTTACAAAAATCTGTGCCTCAAAGGGCACGTAGATCAGAAATAAAGATGGAATGTATTTGAGTCAACTTATTTAGAGAAAAAGGGATGCCAAACCACTCTTCCAGTTTTGGTCCTTGAACCAAAATAAATCTCTTCAAATGACACATCTATTTACATTCTTAATGGGCATTTGAAGTTTTCATGAGAAAGGGGCAATTTTAAAAATCCTTATCCCTCCCTACACACTCTAAATCATTTTTTTGGGGGGACAGGGTCTTGCTCTATCACCCAGGCCTAGTACAATGGCACAATCAGGGTTCACTGTACCTTTGACCTCCCTGGGCTTAGATGATCCGTCCACCTCAGTCTCCCAAGCAGCTAGGACTGCAGGTGTGCACCACCATGCCCTGCTAACTTTTGTAGAGACAGGGTTTCGCCATGTTGCCCAGGCTAGTCTCAAACTCCTGAGCTCAAGTGATCTGCCCACCTCGGCCTCCCAAAGTGCTGGGATTACAAGTGTGAGCCACCACACCCATCCTTTAAGTCATTTTTAAATCAAAGAACTGTAGTTCCTAAGTACATACAGCTGATAATATGTATATATGTGTGTACCATAGATGCTGTGCATTAACACACATCTGCAGTGTTGGGGTGAGACCACTACATCACATCGCTTTCCCATTATTGTTAGTGCTCAAGTGTTGCTCAGCCACTATTTCAAAAGCTCACTGATTTGTTTTTCTGTATTCATCTAAGCAAATAATTTATTATCATTTCAAAAAGCATTTCCAACTAGGCAGAATCTGAGTTGTCAGTAAATATGCAATGCTCCCCTAATTAAATTAGAGTAATATTATCAAGGAAGGGGTACAATAATCTTTGGTACAATAATCTTACCTGTGATAGTGCTAAGATTCTCAGATGATTAATGGTATCAAAAATATCATTCTTAAAGTCACAACCTTTCATATTCATTTCCTAAGACACATTTTTCCCTCTTTACAACCATCCCCTCTTTATCAGTTACAGAGTAGCACATTTAGTTTGTTAATGGAAGGAAGCTAACTTCTCTTTTCTGATATCTCACAGATGCTAATGACACATGAATGCTACAGTATTTAAAGGAAAAAGGGAAAGCAAGCCACTTGCCCGGTTAGGAATTAAAGGAAGCCACCTGAAAGCTGAGCCTAGAAACATCTTAAATGATTTTATGATGACAAATCCCTCAGCTAAAAATTGTGGAAAATACATAAAATTAAAAATGTAGAAATCCACACCATCATCTTCTACGTAACATCAACTTAATTATTAAGTGGTTATAAATTAGCCATTAGTTACTTATTCTTCTAAATGATTTAACTTTTCCAATTCTCATTTCATCTGTTTTCCATGTTAAAAAAAAAATCAAAGAAATTCAAGATATGGAAAAGACACGCTGGGTGAGGATCTGAAACTGATTTGGTAGCTTTGGAGTTGACATAATCTTGGCCTGGTGCAGCTCATTTTTGAAAGCTGCCTCAAATTTCCCCTGGTTTTGAACTTTTTTTTTTCCTTACCACTTTCATCTAGCAAGAAATCATCCTGGTAACGGAACTTCTCCGGTCCACATGCAATAAAAATGTCATCATCACCAAAAAAGTCCTGAAGGCACATCACCTACAAGAGAAAAGCATGGCACTCAGCAAGGGTGGTAGAACAGCAATTACAACAATGCAACCCCACGAGCAGACATCTGCATAAAGCCCCTTCCCAGCTAATGGAATCAACAGGGCAGCTTCTACAGAGGAATTTCAAAAGAGGGGTTCGAGCATCTGTTACTAGTAAGAAAAATGTTCCATTTCAGTTCTGCAGGAAAACAGGATAAGGAAAATAGAACCAGTAACTGTCACATTTATTACTTGATATATCAATAGGCTCTGAGGTAAGAGCCCTTTGTTTCCATATTAGTGTAGGTGCAGTGCCCCTTTCCTCTTCGGAATGTAATCCTCTTTGATAGCAACACAAGTCAGCATATGGTTTTAACAACAAATATGTTTAGTAATTGATGCCATCATAATCACTGAAGAAAAATATTTCTCTCATCTTATGAACATAATCACCTCCTTTAAACCCATTCCACTTCTAGTTGAAAGAAAAATGAAACTCTTTTAAAAATAATAATAAATAAATGAAGCTATTGCTTAGGGTTAGAGAGATTACGGTAAGTGTATGCCGACACCCAAGCTCTGCCAAACTCTAAAACTCTCAGGCCACCCATTTCCTCTTGTCATGCAAAAGGCAAGTTTTAAGGCAACCTTTTGATATTTACTTGACTTACTCTCCAATGAGAGCTTTAAGAAAGCTAAATGTCATTTTTGCAAGTAAATGTGATCAAAATGAATAATTTTCAAGCATCTTGCTCTCTGTCTTTGGATAGACTATGTAATATTTTGTTCACATTGTGTGCAATGCCAACACTAGGAACACTGCTGATTTCTAACTATTTTCAATTTCCTTTGACCGCTTGGGCGAATCGTAAGATGGCTAGTTGCAAGCACCCATTAAGAGCTGTATGAAATAGAGGTTGTAATAGCATTTTCTCCTGGATATTTGAGGACCAGAGACAAGCCGCTCTGGAGTGCTCGTGGGCACCTCTGGAGTTCTACCTTTTTGTCAGTCCCTGGGAATGCTACTCTGACACACCACATGTGCTATAAGACATAGAATAGTAAGTTGAGAGAACATAGCATTATTTAGAGTCCTCAAATGCAATGATATGTGGGCTTTAGACTGTCTTTCCAAATAATGTCTCATTTCTAAATAATCACTTGGCCGAAGTTTTTAAAATGGAATTTCTATAACAGTTTGATAATCAACATTAAACAAGAATGAGGTATTATCCATGGTTGTCAGTGTTTAGTCTGCCCATGAAAGCTTAAAAACACAGGGGATTTAAGAGGGATGCTGTAATCACTGAGGAAAGCTGAAGGGCTTCAAGGGTGATGTCAGAAGCTCTGATATTCTATTTGGTTTAAAAGCAGACCATTTGAATTCAGAACCCACCCTCCATTTCACTCCTCTTTCTCTGACTCCAACCCAATCCTGTTCATCTTTACCTTCATGACACCATAGCTTCTTCTAGCATCATCTCAATCAATGCCCCGCTGTGGCCATTTTCATTTTACATTTCATTTACAGAAAGTATTTACTGAATGCCTACCATGTGCCAGTCAGCATCTGGCAGAAATGAAGAAGTCATGATCTCCGCCCAAATGTGAACAATTAACCCAAAAGAGCAGTATCTCCTAAAGTGTGGATGGTTAATACATTTTGGGCAAAAGAGAGTTCTAAAGCCAAACAGATTTGGAAAATATTTGTTTCCAAATTCTCAAAACCCTTAATGTTCTAATATACATCATAACGTCAAAGAAGAGAGAAAAATCCAGTATTTCCCAAACTTATTTGATTCCAGAACTTTTCTCTCACACAGCATCATGAAGACAGATAGTGTTCCTCAGAGTTCCCTTTAGAAGTGGGCCGACAGCCATAGGTGAAAAGATCTCTGGGAACACAGGAAAGAAAGAAGTTACCCATTCTGCTCCTAGGCGGCCATGCTTCTGCAGCTGATAAATATTTCATTGCCAACTAATTTACTCACTCAAACATTTATGATGGGCCTACTCTACATCAAACATTCTGATGATGTATCTCTGATAGATGAAAAATATTGTTTTTGAAAGGAAACACATTCTCACTCCCACCATTTGCATTTGAGAACATCTGATTGCTAAACCACATCCTACTCATCGGTGTGTTCATGTTTCACGCCACTTCTATGTGGACAAATAACTATCATCAAAACTACAACAGGTTTTAAGCAGGTTGCTAGCCAATGCTCTTCCATCAGTTTACTGATGACCATTCTCCAAGTCTGAGACTTAAAGAACGGAACAAACAACGATCCATCTTGGGCAGGTTTTTTTTTTTTTGGCAAGCGGGAAATGAAACGTGATGAAATTTTGATGTTCTTTCCAACATCGAGACTCCGAGAATATAAAAGGAATGCAATGATTGTTAGAGAAAAGTAACTGTCATCACCCAGCACAAAAAGGCAGGGGCAAGTCACCTCAGTGCCAAGCAGTATGCATTCATTTACCTCTCACCAAACAGTCATTGAAATGAGAGAATTTGTTGAACTAGCAGAAACTCTGATGTTTTCTGTGCTTTCTGTTCAACATCATGTAACCACTTCCCTGCTCACAACTTCCCATTGGAAAAGGTAGGTATGGTCAGAAGATCAAATTCAACTTTATAAAACTGCTCCTTGTTAGAAGTCTTCTTAAAGAGTTGATACCAAAGGAGACTTAAACACAAGGTTATAATAAAGATGAATTTAGGATAATCTGTGCACTTCAGTGAGCTTCAATCATCCATGCACTCACACTCTACCACTGATACAGAGGTAGCTATAATGTATTCCAACTAACAAGAAAGAATAACAGAGGGAGATTTATAACCCACTTCTCTAGACAAATGTACATTGAGAATTTTCCTTGAGGCATTACTGTACATTCTGATATTAAGGAATTATAAAACGGTAGAGGAATTGAAAACCAGTGTTTCACACAATAATCTGATTTTATTTATCTATGCAGTGTTACTGCTTTTGAAACCCGGTGTTCTAAAGATTCAGTATAGTCACCAGTTTTTTAAAAAATTCATTTGATGAATGAAAAATAGACTTCTTGTTACAAAGTGATAGTGACAATTGGCCTCTCAGCCATGAATTATCTGCTCAGTACATGTCAGATGTTGGAAGCATTCATGATGATTAGATACAGGGTAGATGCAAAGGCAGAATTATCAAGTTTGAAAAAAGAGAGATGTCCATCCTGTGGAGAAGCACCTTTCCAAGCTTTTCTGTTACACCTCCATGCTCCTCTACCTCCCAGGAGAGTTGATGTTTTCAGAGCCTGCTTTTCTCTGTGGTTTCACTATGGTCAGAGATTCCGCCCCTGTAATAACTTTCCAACCCAGGCCTTTTCCCCACCCTCCTCTCCTTTACTCCCAGCACCAAGTCAGTCCAGGGCTCAACCTCCTGCCTGTGGACCCTGGCATTTTACTCTAGTGGATTTTCTCAGCCCTACCTCCTTTCTGTCCAGTCCATCCGGTTTAATTCTGTCATTCTACTCTTCCTTAGCAAATTTTCAATATCTCTCTCCATGGCTCAGAAGGCCATTCATGGCTTACTATCCTCAAGTTAAAGTTCATCTTTCTGATGCCTCAAAATTTGACCCCAACCTATCTTTCAAGCTTCCGGTTTTTTTAGTTGTGACATGGTGCCTGATGCTTAAATAAGCATTTGTTGGATGGATGGACAATGGATGGATTAATAAATGGACGGATGGATGGACGCATGGATGGACGGACGGACGGATGGATGGATGGAAGAACTATGTCCTAACCTGAAACATGTTTCAATTTATCTGCTTTGCCTGTTTTTCTCTAAAAAGGGCTTGTTCTTTCCTACCTATGTGTTTGTTTGTTTGTTTGTTTTCTATCTGGTAACCTTTCTTATTCTTTGCCTGTTCAAATCCCTCCTATGGCCCATAGCTCAGTTGCAGATTCAAACCCTACCTTCTCTATCCACTCTAATCCAAAGTGACTCATCCCTGCTCTGAACCTCTATCCATTGATCAATACGAGTTTACTGAGTGCCCATTATTTGTCAATCCCTGGGCTAGATCTTAACATGGCTGCCCTTATCTATCACCTCTTCTTTTCTAGTATATGTTTACAGACTTATGATCCAAATAATTCCTGTTGTGAATCAGTAATTCAGCAGAGAGGGACTTACATTACCTTCTAGTGGTTTTGTCAAAGGCTGGAGACAGGTGATATCACTCCAGCCCTTGCTCTGCCACCATATTGACTTGAGCTAATCAGGAAACCTCCATCAGCTATCTTGAAATGAGTCCTGTTTCTATAGATCCTAACTTCAGTCAGAGCAAGGGCAGTGTCTTCCATTGGGTGCCATTTCTTTTGGCACCATGGAGATGTCTGCTTAGGCTATTCCCTAAGAACAGAGCACTACCAACAGAGCCCAGCTTCTGAGTTAACCTGGCTCTTCCACTTGGATGTTAATCTCTTTGTGTCTCAGTTTATCATATTAGTTGTTTCAAGATGAGTTAAGACAATGAATCCAAAGAGAATAAGTCCTCAATAAATTTTAGCTATTTTATTAGCCCAAATGTATTTTTACTTCTAAATAAGTATAAATGGAGTGCAAACATACAGTATATACTTCCTAAGTTCTATACCAACATGCTTCTTTTCTAAGTTGATTTGAAGAAAATGTAGCAAATGCGTGCCTCTTCTTGCTTGGGGAATAAGGATTCTATCAGTATCATTATTTTGATGAAAGGCACACTTTGAATTAGCATCAGAGAATGGGTGAAAAGCTGGTAGAAGCTGCTAACACAAAGGTGGGACAGAGTTTATACCACTGATTTCCATTAGCCTTCCACAGAATGATGCTGTGAAAAGTCATTTGTAAGCATATTCACCTGATATAACAAATGTGCTAGGAACCACTGTCTTAACTCAGGGCCTCTTGAGATCCGTCACCAACTTCTAGTTTCGTGACAACCACGGATTTTTATTCCTCTGAGAAAACT